TCTCTGGATATCGTTTTGCCAAGCTTGAAAGAGGAGTAACCAGTGGCTTGTTCGTACCATATCGCAGTGGATCTTCCTTCCGCAACTTTGGCTCTGTGGCGACTTTTGATAATTGAGAATATTTTCTTCTTGATTTGCTCCTTTATCTGTGAGAAACTTGGAGGTATTTGAACCTGTACAACAGGTAGAGCAGTGGCAGTTTTTGCTAGCGAGTCTGCCTTTTCATTACCATCTATGCCAATGTGACTTGATATCCAATTTAGGGTGATTGACAGCTCTCGATTATAGGCTTCTTTTCCTATATGTTGAATTTCTGTGAGGAGTTGTATATTATCTCTGCTGACTGGATAACAATGCCTGGAGCGAAGATTTAGAGTCTGTATGAATGATGACATCATGTAAATTATTCTCAATTGTATAGTTTATTGCCTCCTTCAGGGCATATAATTCTGTTCGTAATGTTGAGCACCCACTATTCATGCTCCAGTAAGCTTCATGGTTGGTAGTGTAAACTGTTGCCCCAGCAGAACCTTTTTCTTGATCAACTGATCCGTCTGTGACGTTGTGAGTCGTTGTGGGTCTAGAGATAGTTTCCATTTGTTGTTCTATTACTTCCTTGAGCATCTGCGGGTCACATGCTGATTTTTTAACTGGTAATCTTTCAATGATTATCTTTAGGTTCGATTCTTCCCATGGAGGAGGCTGTCGAAAGTGTTGATATGGTCTATCTTCCCCTTTGTTTTTAATGGTCCATTTCAGGTCCATTTTCTCTAAAATTTTGACCACATTATCCATCCATGAGCTTGTTCTATACTGTAGGTTTTTCTGACAGGGTTTCTGTATGCTGTCTTTGATTGACAGTCTGGCGGTTGTTCCAGTAAGTTTTCCTATTATGGTGGCTATCCTTTGTGTCATCCTGTTTTCTAATGCTGGTAAATTTGTTTCAATTCTAAGGTTCTCTCTAAGCGTCCATATAGGTGCTCCCAGCATTCTTCTCAGAGCATCATTTTGAGACACTTCCAGTTTCTCCCATTGGTTATCACTGAGGGATGTAAGAGTAAGGGCAGCATAGTCAATGAGTGACCTAACTGCTTGAACGTAGTACATTTTGAGTACTGGTAGAGATGCACCCTCTCTAAGACTTGTCAGGGAGCGCAAAGCTGAGTTTCTGGCATTACAGCGTTGCCGAAGATATTCAATTTCTTGAGTGAATGTCAACTGGTTGTCTATTATGACTCCTAGGTATTGAAAAGAGGTAACCCACTCAATTTCTTGTCCTTGTATTGCCAGTCTGATGTCTTCAGTTTTCATTTTAACAGCCATAGCTTTTGTTTAATTGCTGTTTATTTTCACTGCTATGAGTTCTGTTTCCCTGATGATAATGTCTAGGCATTTTTGTGCATGGTTCCTTGCATGGTGGATATGATGGCGAGGAGGGTAAGTTATAGTGGGTGTGGTGGAGAGGAGGGTGAGTTATAGTGGGTGTGGTGGAGAGGAGGGGGAGTTATAGTGGGTGTGGTGGAGAGGAGGGTGAGTTATAGTGGGTGTGGTGGAGAGGAGGGTGAGTTATAGTGGGTGTGGTGGAGAGGAGGGTGAGTTATAGTGGGTGTGGTGGAGAGGAGGGTAAGTTATAGTGGGTGTGGTGGAGAGGAGGGTGAGTTATAGTGGGTGTGGTGGAGAGGAGGGTGGGTTATAGTGGGTGTGGTGGAGAAGAGGGTGAGTTATAGTGGGTGTGGTGGAGAGGAGGGTGAGTTATAGTGGGTGTGGTGGAGAGGAGGGTGAGTTATAGGGGGTATGGTGGGGAGGAGGGTGAGTTATAGTCGGTGTGGTGGAGAGGAGGGTGAGTTATAGAGGGTGTGGTGGAGAGGAGGGTAAGTTATAGTGGGTGTGGTGGAGAGGAGGGTGAGTTATAGTGGGTGTGGTGGAGAGGAGGGTGAGTTATAGTGGGTGTGGTGGAGAGGAGAGTAAGTTATAGTGGGTGTGGTGGAGAGGAGGGTGAGTTATAGTGGGTGTGGTGGAGAGGAGGGTGAGTTATAGTGGGTGTGGTGGAGAGGAGGGTGAGTTATAGTGGGTGTGGTGGAGAGGAGGGTGAGTTATAGGGGGTATGGTGGGGAGGAGGGTGAGTTATAGTCGGTGTGGTGGAGAGGAGGGTGAGTTATAGTGAGTGTGGTGGAGAGGAGGGTGAGTTATAGGGGGTATGGTGGGGAGGAGGGTGAGTTATAGTCGGTGTGGTGGAGAGGAGGGTGAGTTATAGAGGGTGTGGTGGAGAGGAGGGTAAGTTATAGTGGGTGTGGTGGAGAGGAGGGTGAGTTATAGTGGGTGTGGTGGAGAGGAGGGTGAGTTATAGTGGGTGTGGTGGAGAGGAGAGTAAGTTATAGTGGGTGTGGTGGAGAGGAGGGTGAGTTATAGTGGGTGTGGTGGAGAGGAGGGTGAGTTATAGTGGGTGTGGTGGAGAGAAGCTGGATGTTGTATACGGGAGAATGAGTGGGGATGGGTATCTATGTCGAGTTACGTCACGAGTAAGTGTGGTTTAGGTGAACACTGATGAGTATGGTGGACAAGAGGGTGAGTGACGGTATATTGAACAGATGGGTGAGTGATGGTGAGCATGTTGAACAGGAGGGTGGGTGATGGTGAGCATGATGAACAGGAGGGCGAGTGATGGTGAGCATGTTGAACAGGAGGGTGAGTGATAGTAAGCATGTTGAACAGGAGGGTGAGTGATGGTGAGCATGATGAACAGGAGGGCGAGTGATTGCGGGCATGTTGAACAGGAGGGTTAGTGATAGTGAGAATGTTGAACAGGAGGGTTAGTGATAGTGAGAATGCTGAACAGGAGGGTGAGTGACAGTGAGAATGTTGAACAGGAGGGTGAGTGGTAGTGAGAATGTTGAAGAGGAGTGTGAGTGAACACTTGTACAATCACACATACATCTTATATATAATTCACGCGGTGTTTAAGATGTTTTGAGACACAACACGCACCATTAACAACCTGGACTGTGCACAAGTGTCAGGAGCATGCCACAAGTGTAGGTGGTGTCAGGAGCATGCCACAAATGTAGGTGGTGTCAGGAGCATGCCACAAGTGTAGGTGGTGTCAGGAGCATGCCACAAGTGTAGGTGGTGTCAGGAGCATGACACAAGTGTAGGTGGTGTCAGGAGCATGACACAAGTGTAGGTGGTGTCAGGAGCATGACACAAGTGTAGGTGGTGTCAGGAGCATGACACAAGTGTAGGTGGTGTCAGGAGCATGACACAAGTGTAGGTGGTGTCAGGAGCATGACACAAGTGTAGGTGGTGTCAGGAGCATGACACAAGTGTAGGTGGTGTCAGGAGCATGACACAAGTGGAGGTGGTGTCAGGAGCATGACACAAGTGTAGGTGGTGTCAGGAGCATGACACAAGTGGAGGTGGTGTCAGGAGCATGACACAAGTGGAGGTGGTGTCTGGTGTATGACACAAGTGTAGGTGGTGTCAGGAGCATGACACAAGTGGAGGTGGTGTCTGGAGCATGACACAAGTGGAGGTGGTGTCAGGAGCATGACACAAGTGGAGGTGGTGTCTGGTGTATGACACAAGTGGAGGTGGTGTCAGGAGCATGACACAAGTGGAGGTGGTGTCTGGTGTATAACACAAGTGGAGGTGGTGTATGACACAAGTGGAGGTGGTGTATGACACAAGTGGAGGTGGTGTCTGGTGTATGACACAAGTGGAGGTGGTGTCTGGAGCATGACACAAGTGGAGGTGGTGTCTGGTGTATGACACAAGTGGAGGTGGTGTCTGGAGCATGACACAAGTGGAGGTGGTGTCTGGAGCATGACACAAGTGGAGGTGGTGTCTGGAGCATGACACAAGTGGAGGTGGTGTCTGGTGTATGACACAAGTGGAGGTGGTGTCTGGAGCATGACACAAGTGGAGGTGGTGTCTGGTGTATGACACAAGTGTAGGTGGTGTCTGGTGTATGACACAAGTGGAGGTGGTGTCTGGTGTATGACACAAGTGTAGGTGGTGTCAGGAGCATGACACAAGTGTAGGTGGTGTCAGGAGTATGCCACAAGTGTAGGTGGTGTCAGGAGTATGCCACAAGTGGAGGTGGTGTCTGGTGTATGACACAAGTGGAGGTGGTGTCTGGAGCATGACACAAGTGGAGGTGGTGTCTGGAGCATGACACAAGTGGAGGTGGTGTCTGGTGTATGCCACAAGTGGAGGTGGTGTCTGGTGTATGACACAAGTGGAGGTGGTGTCTGGAGCATGACACAAGTGGAGGTGGTGTCTGGAGCATGACACAAGTGTAGGTGGTGTCTGGAGCATGACACAAGTGGAGGTGGTGTCTGGAGCATGACACAAGTGGAGGTGGTGTCTGGAGCATGACACAAGTGGAGGTGGTGTCTGGAGCATGACACAAGTGGAGGTGGTGTCTGGAGCATGACACAAGTGAAGGTGGTGTCTGGAGCATGACACAAGTGGAGGTGGTGTCTGGTGTATGACACAAGTGGAGGTGGTGTCAGGAGCATGACACAAGTGGAGGTGGTGTCTGGAGCATGACACAAGTGAAGGTGGTGTCTGGTGTATGACACAAGTGGAGGTGGTGTCAGGAGCATGACACAAGTGGAGGTGGTGTCAGGAGCATGACACAAGTGGAGGTGGTGTCTGGAGCATGACACAAGTGGAGGTGGTGTCTGGAGCATGACACAAGATCAGGTGGCTTCAGAAGCATGACACAAGTGGAGATGGAGTCAGGAACATTACACACTTGCTGCAGATAATACTGCACTTAGCACTTCCTGCGCCTTCACTTATAAATAATGTCTCCCACAATTCTCACCTAAATATGAGGAACATATTTCTTTGTTCATTTTGTTAATGAATAAATTACAGATAATGATTCTATTCTGTAGTTACTTGAGTTATACTTAACAAATTCCATTCCGTACATTATAATGAAAGCGTTATGCATGGTCTAGTTAATTTGTATATTATCTTGGATTGATGCCCAGGAAGCTGACATTGGTGTTGGTCCCTTTGGAGTAAGTGCCACCCGTGCTGAGGCGGTGGACTTCACTGGCCCCATATTGATTGATTACTGGAGAATATTAGGGGGTCGAGGGCGGCCAGAGGTGGACCCGTGGAGCTTCGCGCTGCCGCTGGAGCCGTCGGTGTGGGCGGCCACCCTGGCAGCGCTGCTGGGGATACCGGCGCTCATGTGGCTCGTCTCGTCATGTCTTGCAATCAGGAGCGGCCAGGAGTGGAACTGGCTCAACGACACCTTCTCTTTCATCCGCGTAGTTTTACAGCAAGGTAAATTCGTAATTATGCCCAAAAATTCCCAGGTTTATTAGTTGAATAAGCAATTAGGCATGTGTTGATAATAATTGCTATTGATTTAATTTGTTACATAATTATGAATAAGGTCAAAAGAAGCATGCTAAATATTAAGGACAAATACGTTCAGGGAATAATCGGTAGCGAGTCAAATAATCGAATAAAATGTAAGAAACTCAGATGTGAACGTCGGGTGAAGAGACAACGGCACTTTAGGTGAGAACTATGTTATTATTCAGGTAAGAGCCTTCAAGCAGTTCTTATGTTAGAGTTCCCCCTCACACTTTTTCTCATTTTCTCTCTTTGTTAGGGTTTCCCCTTTCATTCCTAGTCTCTCTATGCTAGATTCCCTCCCTCTCCCTTTCTTGCTCTCAGTTAAAACTGCCTTTCTATTCCACTTGCACTCTTTATCAACACGTTAACATGTTAATAACTCAAGGCTTCCCTGGTGACCCAGACCTGCCGCTGCCTCAGGGGTGGTGGTGGGAGCGGGAGCTGGTGGTGTTGTGGATGCTGGTGACGCTGGTGTTGACGAGGAGCTACTCCGGCAACCTCATGGCTCTCCTGGCGGTGATGCACGTCCCTCAGCCCTTCCAGTCCCTCCAGGACGTGCTCGACCACTCATCTGTTATCACCATATGGGAGACTGAGTCGGCCAGCGTGCAGTATTTACATGTATGTAACTCCATAACTCACAGTGTGAAATGACAGACAAACAAACCTTCAACGCAATGTGATGACAAAGGCAACGGATATTTAAATGCAAAACATTAATTAATTAATTATTAATTAATACAGAAATTAATTAATTAGTAAAATTAATTCAAAAGTCAAAACCTATTTCATAATTATAAGAACAAAGGTAACTGCAGAAATCCTATTGGCCCATACGAGGCAGCTCCTATTTATAACCACCCAATCCCACTCATATACATGTCCAACCCATGCTTGAAACAATCGAGGGGCCCCACCTCCACCAAGTTATGCGGTAATTGGTTACACAAATCAACAACCCTGTTATCGAACCAGTATTTACCCAAGTCTTTCCTAAATCTAAACATATCCAATTTATATCCATTGTTTCGTGTTCTGTCTTGTGTTGATACTTTTAATACCCTATTAATATCCCCTTTATATCCAGAAATCCACTTGTAAACCTCTATCATGTCACCCCGTAGCTCTTTGTCATTCCAGTGAATGCAATTTAAGCTTTGTTAATCTTTCTTCATATGAATGATTTCTAATTTGGGAAATTAACTTTGTCATCCTACGCTGGACACGTTCAAGTGAATTTATATCCATTCTATAGTGCGGTGACCAAAACTGAACTGCATAATCTAAATGGGGCCTAACCAGAGCAAGATATAGCTGAAGAACCACACCAGGTGTTTTGTTACTAACGCTTCGATTAATAAATCCCAGTGTCCTATTTGCCTTATTGCGAACATTTATGCATTGATCCTTTTGGTATTAAATTCTTACTAATCATAACTCCCAGATTCCTTTCGCAATCCGACTTCGCAATCTCAACTCCATCTAGCTCGTATCTTGTAACTCTATCATCATTACCTAGTCTCAAAACTTTACATTTATCAGCATTAAACTACATCTGCTAGTCGTTTGACCATTTCAAAACCCTATTTAGATCAACTTGAAGTGATAGTGAGTCTTCTTCCGTATTAATTTCCCTACCGATTTTTGTATCATCAGCAAATTTGCAAATGTTGCTACTGAAACCTGAATTTAAATTATTTATATATATTATAAACAACAGAGCTCCCAGGACAGAGCCTGGAGGCACTCCACTTACAACATTTTCCCACTCTGACTTAACCCCATTTATACTAACTCTCTGTTTCCTTTGGTATAGCCATGCCCTAATCCAGCTTAATATAGCATCCCCAATACTATGAGCCTCTATTTCTTTAATCAGTCTTTCATGTGGCACTGTATCAAAAGCTTTTCTAAAGTCAAGGTACACAACATTACAATCCTTACCCAAACAATCCCAATCAAACATTTTAGGGTATATTACACTAACAGTAGAAGTCTAAGAAATAAAATTAACGAATTAAATGCTCTTGTCTGCACAGAAAAAATAGATATTATTGCACTTACCGAAACGTGGATGAATGTAGAAAATAGAGAACTATTAGCTGAATATCAAATATATGGATTTAAACTATTTCACACAGATAGATATATTAGACGAGGAGGTGGAGTAGCCATATATGTTAGGGACAATTTGAAATGTAGTCTCAAAGAGGGAATCAAAACAGAGCCACACACAGAAACTATTTGGATTGAATTAAACGAAAAAGCTAATAATATTATAATAGGAGTAATATATAGGCCACCAAATTTAGACAGAATGGAAGCAAAGCATCTATGGGATGAAATATCTAGAGCATCTAGATCTAACAGTATTTATGTCATGGGTGACTTTAATTTTAGCGGAATAAACTGGTGGAACAAAACAGGGAATAGTGAAGCAGAAGATTTTCTAGAATTAATTGACGATTGCTTTCTTACGCAACACATTAAGGAACCAACACGGGAAAATAATATTTTAGATTTAGTGTTAACTAACAGGGAAACGCAAATTAATGACATCGAAATAGGGAGTGAGCTAGGGTGCAGTGATCACAAAGAAATCAGATTTAGCATAGAATGGAATAGACCAGTAGGAGAAAATTCTGTTAAAGTGCCAGATTTTCGAAAAGCTGATTTTAATAGCCTAAGAAATTTTTTGGGTCAAATTGATTGGAAAGGCTTGGGTATGGGGTGTGGGCCGGTCTTGGAGCGAGACATGAACCCAGCGATAGGTGACTTAAATGGGGATTTCGATGTGGATTCAATATATAACTTATTTAAGAATATTCTAAACAAAGCACAGGAACGTAGTATACCATACAAATTGAATAGATCGTATACTAATGACCCAAAGTGGATAACAAAGAATTTGAAGAACCTTATAGGTAAAAAGAGAGCTTGGTACAAAAGGATTAAAAATGGGGAGGTCACTTTAGAACAGGAATTCGTACAACTGGTTAGAAATGTTAAAAAAGAGATAAGGAAAGCAAAAAGAAACTATGAAGTTCGCATAGCAGGGCAAGCAAAGACAAATCCTAAAGGGTTTTTTCAGTTATATCGTACTAAGACTAGGGAAAGGATAGGTCCATTAAAAACTGAGACAGGTCAAATAACAGATAGTGATGAAGAGATGAGTAGTATTTTTAATAAATATTTTGTATCTGTATTTACTAAAGAGGAACTTAACAATATGCCTTCAGCCGAACAAGTCTATGTGGGTGGGGACGTGGACAGGTTGACGAGTTTAGCAGTTACCAGGGAGGATGTTCTTAAACAAATAGTAAAACTCAAACCAAACAAATCCCCAGGGCCGGATGAAGTGTTTGCTAGGGTGCTTAAAGAATGCAAAGAGGAGCTTTGTGACCCACTGTCAACCATATTTAATAAATCAATAGAGTCAGGCAGAGTGCCAGAGTTTTGGAAAGTTGCTAATGTGATACCAGTTTTTAAGAAAGGAGATAGATCACTTGCGTCTAACTATCGACCAATTAGCCTAACGTCTATTGTGGGAAAGTTACTCGAATCTATAATAGCAAATAAAATTCGTCTTCATCTTGAAAAACATAAATTAATAATTGAGTCGCAACATGGTTTTATAAATGGCCGTTCATGTTTAACAAATTTGTTATCTTTTTATTCTAGCATTGTTGAGGCAGTTGATAGTGGTAAGGATTGCGATGTTGTATACCTTGACTTTAGCAAAGCTTTTGATACAGTGCCACATGAAAGACTGATTAAAAAAATAGAGTCTCATGGTATTGGGGGTGCTATATTAAGCTGGATTAGGGCATGGCTATACCAAAGGAAACAGAGAGTTAGTATAAATGGAATCAAGTCAGAGTGGGAAAATGTTGTAAGTGGAGTGCCTCAAGGCTCTGTCCTGGGACCTCTGTTGTTTATAATATATATAAATGATTTAGATTCAGGTTTGAGTAGCAACATTTGCAAATTTGCCGATGATACGAAAATCGGTAGGGAAATTAATTCGGAGGAGGACTCACTATCACTTCAAGTTGATCTAGATAGGGTTTTGAAATGGTCAAAGGATTGGCAGATGCAGTTTAATGCTGATAAATGTAAAGTTCTGAGGTTAGGTAATGATGATAGAGTTACAAGATACGAGCTAGATGGTGTTGTGATTGCGAAGTCGGATTGCGAAAGGGATCTGGGAGTTATGATTAGTAAGAATTTAAAACAAAAGGATCAATGCATAAATGTTCGTAATAAGGCAAATCGGACACTTGGATTTATTAATCGCAGCGTTAGTAACAAGACACCTGGTGTGGTTCTCAAGCTATATCTTGCTCTAGTTAGGCCCCATTTAGATTATGCAGTTCAGTTTTGGTCGCCATATTATAGAATGAATATAAATTCACTTGAACGTGTCCAGCGTAGGATGACTAAGTTAATTCCCCAAATTAGAAATCTTTCATATGAAGAAAGATTAACAAAGCTTAAGTTGCATTCACTGGAAAGGCGAAGAGTTAGGGGTGACATGATAGAGGTTTACAAGTGGATGAATGGACATAACCGGGGGGATATTAATAGGGTATTAAAAGTATCAACACAGGACAGAACACGAAACAATGGATATAAATTGGATAAGTTTAGATTTAGGAAAGACTTGGGTAAATACTGGTTCAGTAACAGGGTTGTTGATTTGTGGAACCAATTGCCGCGTAACATTGTGGAGGTGGGGTCCCTCGATTGTTTCAAGCACGGGTTGGACAAGTATATGAGTGGGATTGGGTGGTTATAGAATAGGAGCTGCCTCGTATGGGCCAATAGGCCTTCTGCAGTTACCTTTGTTCTTATGTTCTTATGTTCTTACCACTATCAACTGTCTTAACTGTGCTGGAATAAAAAGATAACAAATTTGTTAAACATGAACGGCCATTTGTAAAACCATGTTGGGACTCATTTATTAATTTTGTGTTTTTCAAGATGAAGACGAATTTTATTTGCACTTATCGATTCAAGTAACTTTCCCACAATAGACGTTAGGCTAATTGGCCGATAGTTTGACGCAATTGATCTATCTCCTCTCTTAAAAATTTGTTTCACATTAGCAACCTTCCATGACTCTGGCACTCTGCCTGACTCTATTGATTTATTAAATATGGTAGACAGTGGCTCGCAAAGCTCCTCTTTGCAATCTTTAAGCACGCTGGCAAACACTTCATCCGGCCCTGGGGATTTGTTTGGTTTGAGTTTAACTATTTGTTTAATTACATCCTCCCCTGGTAACTGCTAAACTAGTCAACCTGTCCTCGTCCCCACCCACATAGACTTGTTCAGCTGTAGGCGTATTGTTAAGTTCCTCAATAGTAAATACAGATATAAAATATTAAAAATACTGCTCATCTCTTAATCATTATCTGTTATTTGACCTGTCTCAGTTTGATAATGACTAATGACCCAAAGTGGATAACAAAGAATTTGAAGAACCTTATAGGTAAAAAGAGAGCTTGGTACAAAAGGATTAAGAATGGGGAAGTCAGTTCAGAACAGGAATTCATACAACTGGTTAGAAATGTTAAAAAAGAGATTAGGAAAGCAAAAAGAAACTATGAAGTTCGCATAGCAGAGCAAGCAAAGTCAAATCCTAAAGGGTTTTTTCAGTTATATCGAACTAAGACTAGGGAAAGGATAGGTCCATTAAAAACTGAGACAGGTCAAATAACGGATAATGACAAGGAGATGAGTAGTATTTATAACAAATATTTTATATCTGTATTTACTAAAGAAGAACTTAACAATATGCCTTCAGCCGAACAAGTCTATGTGGGTGGAGATGAGGACAGGTTGACTTATGTTCTTATGTTCTTATGTAATATTGTGGAGGTGGGGTCCCTCGATTGTTTCAAGCATGGGTTGGACATGTATATGAGTGGGATTGGGTGGTTATAAGAACATAAGAACAAAGGCAACTGCAGAAGGCCTGTTGGCCCATACGAGGCAGCTCCTATTTATAACCACCCAATCCCACTCATATACATGTCCAACCCATGCTTGAAACAATCGAGGGACCCCACCTCCATAATGTTTCGCGGCAATTGGTTCCACAAATCAACAACCCTGTTACTGAACCAGTATTTACCCAAGTCTTTCATAAATCTAAACTTATCCAATTTATACCCATTGTTTCGTGTTCTGTCTTGTGTTGATACTTTTAATACCCTATTAATATCCCCTTTGTTATGTCCATTCTCCCACTTGTAAACCTCTATCATGTCACCCCTAACTCTTCGCCTTTCCAGTGAATGCAACTTAAGCTTTGTTAATCTTTCTTCATATGAAAGATTTCTAATTTGGGGAATTAACTTAGTCATGCTACGCTGGACACGTTCAAGTGAATTTATATTCATTCTATAATATGGCGACCAAAACTGAACTGCATAATCTAAATGGGGCCTAACTAGAGCAAGATATAGCTTGAGAACCACACCAGGTGTCTTGTTACTAACGCTGCGATTAATAAATCCAAGTGTCCGATTTGCCTTATTACGAACATTTATGCATTGATCCTTTTGTTTTAAATTCTTGCTAATCATAACTCCCAGATCCCTTTCGCAATTCGACTTCGCAATCTCAACACCATCTAGCTCGTATCTTGTAACCCTATCATCATTACCTAACCTCAGAACTTTACATTTATCAGCATTAAACTGCATCTGCCAATCCTTCGACCATTTCAAAACCCTATCTAGATCAACTTGAAGTGATAGTGAGTCCTCCTCCGAATTAATTTCCCTACCGATTTTCGTATCATCGGCAAATTTGCAAATGTTGCTACTCAAACCTGAATCTAAATCATTTATATATATTATAAACAACAGAGGTCCCAGGAGAGAGCCCTGAGGCACCCCACTTACAACATTTTCCCACTCTGTCTTGACTCCATTTATACTAACTCTGTTTCCTTTGGTATAGCCATGCCCTAAACCAGCTTAATATAGCACCCCCAATATCATGAGACTCTAACTTTTTAATCAGTCTTTCATGTGGCACTGTATCAAAAGCTTTGCTAAAGTCAAGGTACACAACATCGCAATCCTTACCACTATCAACTGCCTCAACAATGCTAGAATAAAAAGATAACAAATTTGTTAAACATGAACGGCCTTTATAAAACCATGTTGCGACTCAATTATTAATTTATGTTTTTCAATTATAAATAGGAGCTGCCTCGTATGGGCCAACAGGCCTTCTGCAGTTGCCTTTGTTCTTATGTTCTTTTGTTCTTATGTACAAGTGGTTGAATGGACATAACAAAGGGGATATTAATGGGGTATTAAAAGTATCAACACAAGACAGAACACGAAACAATGGGTATAAATTGGATAAGTTTAGATTTAGGAAAGACTTAGTAAATACTGGTTCGATAACAGGGTTGTTGATTTGTGTAACCAATTACCGCGTAACTTGGTGGAGGTGGGGCCCCTCGATTGTTTCAAGCGCGGGTTGGACATGTATATGAGTGGGATTGGGTGGTTATAGATAGGAGCTGCCTCGTATGGGGCAATAGGCCTTTTGCAGTTACCTTTGTTCTTATGTTCTTATGTTTTTATTGGACCTATCCTTTCCCTAATCTTTGTCCGGTATAACTGGAAAAACCCTTTAGGATCTGTCTTTGCTTGCTCTGCTATGCGAACTTTATAGTTTCTTTTTTCTTTCGTTTTCTCTTGTTTAGTAATTCTAACCAGTTGTACGAATTCCTGTTCTAAACTGACTTCCCTATTCCTAATCCTATTGTACCACGCTCTCTTTTTGCCTATAAGGTTCTTCAGATCCTTTGTTATCCACTTTGGATCATTAGTATTCGATCTATTCAATTTATATGGTATACTACGTTCCTGGGTTTTGCTTAGGATATTTTTAAATAGGTTATATTTTGAAACCACATCGAAAACCCCTTTTACGTCACTTATCACTGGGTTCACGTCTAGCTTCAAGACCGGCCCACACCCCTTACCCAAGACTTTCCAATCTATTTGACCCCAAAAAATTCTGAGCCTATTGAAATCAGCTTTTCGAAAATCAGGCACTTTAACAGAATTTTCTCTTACAGATCTATTCCATTCTATGCTAAATCTGATTTCTTTATTATCACTGTTCCCTAGCTCAATCCCTATTTCGATGTCCTTAATTTGTGTTTCCCTGTTAGTTAACACTAAATCTAAAATATTATTTTCCCGCGTTGGTTCCTTAATGTGTTGCGTAGGAAAGCAAGCGTCAATTAGTTCTAAAAAATCTTCTGCTTCACTATTCCCAGTTTTGTTCAACCAGTTTATTCCACTAAAATTAAAGTCACCCATGACATAAATACTGTTAGATCTAGATGCTCTAGATATTTCATCCCATAGATGCTTTGCTTCCATTCTGTCTAAATTTGGTGGCCTATATATAACTCCTTTTATAACATTATTTGCTTTCTCGTATAATTCTACCCAAATAGTTTCTGTGTGTGGCTCAGTTTTGATTCCCTGTTTAAGACTACATTTCAAATTGTCCCTAATATATATGGTTACTCCCCCTCCTCGTCTAATATATCTATCCGTGTGAAATAGTTTAAATCCATTTATTTGATATTCAGCTAATAGTTCTCTATTTTCTACATTCATCCACGTTTCGGTAAGTGCAATAATATATATTTTTTCTGTGCAGAGTAGAGTATTTAATTCATTTATTTTATTTCTTAGACTTCTACTGTTAGTGTAATATACCCTAAGTAAATTGTTATTTTGAGGCCCTTCTCTTTCCCTGATCATTTTGCCAATTCCTTTCTCCCAGAAACACATACTTTTATTACCTCCTTCCTCCAAAACAATTCCCATACCACTATCAACTAACAGTTTAAACCCAAACACCTCTAACCACTGGTTCCAACGAGTTTGTAACAACAACAACCCCAGCTCTCGATAGATGCACCCCATCACGAGCATACATTTCATTTCTTCCATAGAAGTGTTCCCAGTTGTCTATGAAAGATATTGCATTTGATTTGCAACATCTCTCCAGCCGGCAATTGACACCAAGTGCCCTCGACATCCATTCATTTCCCACTCCCTTTCTTGGAAGAATGCCACATATGATCGGGATTCCTCCCTTGCTCCTAACTAATTCTATGGCTGTCTTGAATATCTGTATCAGTTCCTCACTCCTAACTCGTCCAACGTCATTTCTACCTGCAATAATACAAATAATGGGTTTGTTCTCATTTCCTGTCATAATATCAATCATGTTTCCAACAATATCACCAATTCCAGATCCCGGTTAGCAAACCCTTAACCTGTTCCCAGTCTCTCTGGCACAAAACGTTCTGTCTAAAAATAATGTATTAATTAATTAATTAAATAATTATTAAGCAATGCATTAAACAATTAAGTATTAATATATTAAATATTAAGGATTGTCATCACTAAATATTAATTAATATATTAATTAATTTTAATTTAAAACGTTATTTATTCAATTATTAATTGGTACATAATTTAATTAATAAATAATACATTATTTAACTAATTCATTAAATATTTATTTATTAAATAATAAATAATTATTAAATTAATATTTTATGCATTAATTAATTATATATTATATATTATTTAATTAATTAATGCATTAAATATTATAATATATTAATTGTTATTTAATACATTAATGAATTAACATTTAATACATTAATGATTATTCAATACATTAATTAATTATTAATTAAATAATTAATTATTAATTAAATAATTAATTATTAATTAAATAATTAATTAATTATATATCTATCACAGACCATATATATGTAAAATACAATTATGTTTTTTCCTCTTGATTAATTTTGTATCAATCCTTCCAGTCCGTTGAGTCCGGCATCTTCCGCGATATAGCAAACCTGGAAAAGAAAGGTCGTGTGGTTTACAGAACACAGTCACAGTTTGAGGAGACCATCGACACCTTGGTGAGGTCCGGTCACCACGTCCTCATGGAAGTAGACATGAGCATAAAAGCTTATGTGGCACAAGACTTCACTCGCACCGGTAAATCAAGTGTGTGTGTGTATATATATATATATATATATATATATATATATATATATATATATATATATATATATATATATATATATATATATATATATATGACGACTGAAAACTCACACCCCAGAAGTGACTCGAACCCATACTGCCAGGAGCAACGCAACTGGTATCTACAGGACGCCTTAATCCGCTTAGAATTTTTTTTTTCAGTGTCAGAGTAGTTAACATTGCATTAAGTAGTGTTGTGGTGGAGGCAGACTCCATACACAGTTTCAAATGTAGATATGATAGAGCCCAATAGGCTCAGGAATCTGTACACCAATTGATTTACAGTTGAGAGGCGGGACCAAAGAGCCAAAGCTCAACCCCCGCAAACACAACTAGGTGAGTACCACTCGACTACCGAGCAGCGAATTCCTTACTCACTGAATTGTCGTTCCTTATTACTGGAAACAAATTTTGATGCCATCTGGAGATTAATTACATTTCCCAATGTGTCTCTGAATAAGTCCTCACATTTGTTTCTTAACGAGTTCATACCATTTTTCCAGGTGGGTTTATACATTTTAATATTTCCACGGAGTCTAGACATAAGCATCACTATAATTTATATACCATATATAACTAGACCGAGGAGTATAACTTCTAGTGGCAGCAATTCTTTACCAAGTCTTCACAAGTAAGCTTCATTCAACAGTTGTTGTGTCTACACACAACAGTTGTTGTGTGTAGACACATAACAGTTGTTGCTATGTCTACACAACAACAACTGTTGCTGCTAACCTGAGGTTAAAACTCTAAATTGCCTCCAATTCACAATGTAACAATATTTGTTCCTGTGTAGTAGGTGTTATTTCCTTATAGCTTATACCTAAACAGTTTAGAAAATATACATTTTCACTGTCTAGTGATCAAGACAGCGGTTTTTTTATATAAACATATTTCCAGGGAGAAAACTGGCGAATTTGTATCTTTTCCTTCACATAAAGCCATAAATGAAGAACATATGCTTAAAAAAATTAAATTTACTAATAATATTTTACACAAAAAATATCACAAAATATTTGTAAGTTAATAGATTTCGAGACTTACTGTTATAATGAAAATCTCTTCCATGAACCAGCCCCCAAGTGCAGACTGCCATCATGTTGTGGTTACACTGTGCTGGCAGCGGCGTTCATACTCGTCCAATAAATACTCGTGGAAGTGTTCGCCTTTTCCGGAGTACGCTTCAATGTTCTCCTCATTTTTATGAAGACGACCATAAAGGATATCGACTTTGAGGGACATCCTGAGGCCAGTTATGCTAAAAGCCTTTACCCGCGCCACAGTGTTCACTGTCTTGTGATTGTCCAGGAAGCCCTGAACCACTGTGACACAATTGTTCCAAGCCACTTTGTCTTTCCTGATGAGCTTGTTGGGAAATCCCCCTCCCCGCTCAGCTCGTTGTCGCCGTGTGGGGGCTTCGTGGGCGGCTGCTGGAGTGTGATGCTCCTTAGGACAGTCCTCTGTCCTTTTCTAGCCTTATGCTCCTGCTGCCGTCCTCTCCAATTCTGCTGGGCACCTTTTCCTTTTCCTTCTGTTTCGTTTTTCTCCCCCCTCTTCTCCTATCTGCTTGCCGTTTCCTGCCGACCTTTTGCTCGTTCTGGTTCTTCCATGGACTTCTTCTATTTTGACGCCCGGGTGCTTGAGGAGGCATACTCATGCACCCGTAGAACTGCAGTACCCGACGTCGAGAGCGAGGGGGACCCTTTTATTGTCAATCCCCACTTCGTCACTGAACCCGATCTCGACGGACTGTCGGTTTCTTAAGGTGGCGTTTGTGGGGCGTATACTCACGACGCACCCCTAGGAGGCCCCGACAAGATCGGCGATAGCTTCTTGTTGGGTGTCCTGCCTCTAATTGTGGCTCCATGGTGGGTGTGGGGGCTCATTCGTGAGTGAATTCTTAATTTCGTCAAGATGATAACCCCTGTTTCGGCTGCTTCTGGCTTACCTTTTCAGGCTCGTGGGGTGGGCGACCAAGCCCCCGAGTCGGTCCGTATTGGAAGACCGGGCTCTGTAGCCTCCGCTGCATTGGGCCCCGACCTTGCTCCTCCTTTGGCCTCTCTGACTCCTTCCCCTGGCTCCCCTCCCTCCTCTGTGGTTGGGTCGAGCCCCAAGCCCCCAGTGGTGACTACCTCGTCCCCTGGCGCGGCTCCTTCTCTAGTTGTAACTACTGCGCCTTTTAACCCCTCTCTCTCTGGGGGTTCTCACCGCCGTTCTCGTCACGGCCGCCCTCGCTCGATTCCTTCCAGTTCTGCTACCTATCAAGCCTTGTTTGGTCCCGCTTCGTGGGCCAAATATTTTGATCTCCTCCCTCTTGATTCTGCGCCTCCTGACGATTTCTCCCTTCATCGACATCTCATTGATTCCGTGGATGCCTCCATTACTTTCAACCCCACTCGTCTCGGTACACGTGTCGTTGCTGCTCCTTCTCAGGATGCTGCTTCCCGCTTGGCTGCTTTATCCTGCCTTGGCGAGACCCCCGTTCGGGTCTCGAAGAACGCTCAATTGAATGCCAGTGTTGGCACTATTTTGCTCCCGCCCCATGTTGCAACCGGTGTTCGGGACCTGCGCGACTGCCACGACGATATTCGCCATATCCTCGCTGCCCAGGGCCATTCTATTCTCCAGGTGGACACGTTTACTCGTCCCCCTCGTGGTAGTCGCCGTCAACCCCTCCGGGTTGTGAAGATTACCTTTGATGGTAGGACCCTTCCACCCTCTGTCATTCTTGCTGGTGCCAGGTGCTCTGTCCAGGAGTACATTCCTTCTCCTCGGCTCTGCAACAAGTGCTGGAGGTTTGGGCATGGTGCCCTCCGCTGCTCCGGGACTGTCTCTCTCTGTCCTTTGTGTGGTGGCGAAGGTCACTCTAAGTCGGAGTGCACTTCTCCCCAGGCTCGTTGCCTCAACTGCGGTGAGGCCCATCCTACCTTCTCCCGTGCGTGTGTCCATTACAAGCTTGAGGCAGCCGTCCTCAACCTGAAGCACCGGGAGCGTTTATCTTTTCCTGAGGCGAGGCGCCAGGTTCGCCGGCTCCCGCCTTATGCTAATATCTCTTATGCTCGCGTGTTGCGCTCTTCCTCTCCTCGTCCTTCCCGCCTTCCTCAGACTCACAACCGTTTCCGGGCCTTGGACCCTGATGCGCCCACTGCCCCCTCCAATGTTCCTTTGGGTTCTCTCCCGAAGAATCCTCCTCCTGGTCCTCTGTCTGGGGTTCCCCTTCCTTCTACCCGGTCTGTCGTGTCTTCTGTGTCTTCTTCCTCGTCCCCCTCCGATCCTCCTTCCCATCCTCTTCCTCCATCTATTGGCTCTCCCCACCGCCTGTCGGTGCGGGCGGATGTCCATCGCTCTCCTAACGGCCGTCGTGTGTGCTCTCGTTCGGCTTCTCCTGTTGAGACACTGGAATCCGTTGCCCGGTACGTAGTTGCTGGGACGCCGGTCTCTTTAAGTCAGAAGCGTAAGCCTGGCTCCTCTCCTTCCTCTTCCCCGGCGGGTAAGAAGGCTTCGCTTTCTTCCTCAGCTCCTCCTTCTGGCTCTGTTGCTCCTTCCCCTCCCGTTTCAGTGCTTGCGCCCCCTGTTCCTGCTATGGAGGTTTCTTTGGCCCCTGCTTCCCTTTCGGTTGCTGCTCTTGCTGGGGTGCGCTCCCCTCTTTCTACTCCCCCTCCTCCTGCTGCTGTCCTTGACGGCTCCTCTCCGTTGTCTCCTCCTCTTCCTCCTCCTCCTCCAGACCCTGCCCGCCCACCTCTGCTCTGTTCTCCCGTTTCCTTCCCTCCGTCTTTGCTCAGTTTACCCATGCCCCCTAACCCTGACTTTGCTGACCCTGATCCCGACCCTGATATTCTTTAACGTGCTCTGTTGGTCTTTCGCCTTTGTTTCTTCCTTGTTCTCTGTTTTTGTCCTTTCTCTTCTCGTCGTTGTCCATTCTTCAATGGAACGTTCGAGGTTATTACGCCAATTTCCTCGAACTCCAACTTCTGATTTCGCGGTTTTCGCCCCTTTGTGTCTGTCTCCAGGAGCCAATGCTTGGTGCTCGTCCTGGTCGTTTTCGTGGCTATTCCTTTCTCTCCCCCCCCCCAGCCATTGCTGGGGCTTCTAATTCTTCTGCTCTTTTGATTCGGGCTGATGTTCCCTTTGTTCCTTTACTTTTTCCTTCGCCTCTCCATTGTTCTGCTGCTCGTATCTTTGTGGGGAAATGGTACACAGTTTGTTCCATTTATCTCCCCCCGAGTGTCCCGCTCTCTCTTCCTGATTTGAAACACCTCCTGGACTCCTTGCCGGAGCCTGTGCTCCTGCTGGGTGACTTCAATTGTCGTCATTCTCTTTGGGGTGACGTTCTGACGAATACCCGGGGTCGCCTCCTTGAGCCGTTTCTCCTCTCTTCTTCCCTGTCTCTTCTGAATTCTGGTGAGCCCACTCATTTGGACTCTCGGACTCGCACCCTTTCTTGTCTTGATCTTTCTCTCTGCTCTTCTTCTCTTTACTTAGATTTCACGTGGCAGGTTCTTGATGACCTCCATGGAAGTGATCATTTCCCCATCCTTGTTTCCTTTTTCTCTTTTCGCCCTTCCCTCTCTTTCCCTAGGTGGCAGTTTGCTAAGGCAGACTGGACCCTATTTACCCTCAGTGCTGCTCTCCCTGACCTCTCCCTTCTGCCTCTCTCTCGCGCTCTCCTCCTTTTTCATGACACTGTCTTCAACGCTGCCCTCTGCTCTATTCCTCGCTCTTCCTCTCGGGGTCCACGGAAGTGCGTTCCCTGGTGGAATGCGGACTGTGCTCGGGCTGTCCGCTGTAAGCGTGCAGCCTGGAAGAGGCACCGCCGTAGGCAGACGACCGATTCTTTTCTTTTCTTTCGGAAAGCGAGTGCGGTGGCCCGTAGGGCCATCCGTACGGCTAAACGTGAATGTTGGGCATCTTATGTCTCATCAATTACGTCCGAGACCCCTCTGGCCCAGATCTGGAAGCGTATCCGCAAGATAGCGGGTAAGTTCGTTCCCGATGTTTCACCGGTCCTTCACCTCCATGATACTCTTGTGGCGGACCCGTTGCAGGTCGCTTCCGAACTGGGTTCCCATTTTTCTTCTGTTAGCTCTGGTCTTCATCTTCCCCAATCTTTCCTTCTTCGTAAACCTGTCCTTGAGTCTCGTCCTTTAGATTTCTGCACTCATCTTCAGCTTCCCTATAATGATCCCTTCTCTCTCTCTGAACTTCGTTCTGCCCTGGCCCTCTGCGGTTCTACGGCGGCGGGCTCCGATGGCATTCATTATGAGATGCTTCGCCATCTCCCTCCGGGCACGTCTCAGTATTTACTGAGTCTGTATAATCGGATCTGGGAGTCGTCGTCAGTCCCTGAGGACTGGCTTGATGCCGTTGTCCTCCCTGTTCGCAAACCGGGGTCTTTGGGTACTTCCCCTAAGGACTTTAGCCCTATTGCTCTCACAAGTTGTGTCTGCAAACTCTTTGAACGTATGGTTAACGTTCGTCTGATGTGGTTCCTGGAACACCATCACCTCCTCTCCCCTTCTCAATTTGGTTTCCGCAAGTGCCGCAGCACGACAGATGTCCTGGTGAACTTGGAGGTCTATATTCGTACTGCTTTTGCTGCGAAGACCTCCGTTGTTGCCGTCCTTTTTGACCTAGAAAAGGCTTACGACACCACTTGGCGTTATCATATCCTCTCTCAACTTCATTCTTTTGGCCTTCGTGGTCATCTCCCTCTCTTTCTCCGCAGCTTCCTCTCTCGTCGTTCCTTTCGGGTGCGCCTTGGTACCGCTCTCTCTCCCTCTTTTCAGCAATACGAAGGTGTGCCCCAGGGTAGTGTTCTGAGCACTACTCTTTTTCTTGTTGCCCTCAATGGTCTTCTTTCCTCTCTTCCTTCTGGTGTCTTCTCCGCTCTCTATGTCGATGATCTTACCCTTTGTTGTCAGGGTGATGATTCGCCTCTCCTTCAACGCCGGCTTCAACTTGCAATTGATGCCGTGTCGTCTTGGGCCACAGGTCATGGCTTCAAGTTCTCTACTTCTAAGACTTGTGCCATGACTTTTACGCGGAAACGGGTTGTTCTTCGTCCCTCTTTGTCGCTTTATGGTCATCCACTTGAATACAAAGATTCCGCGAAGCTTTTGGGGTTATTCCTTGACACTCGTTTGTCTTGGTCTCCCCATATCTCTTACCTCCGTGTTGAGTGCTCTAAGGCCCTTACCCTCCTTCGGGTCTTGTCCCATACTTCTTGGGGGGCAGATAGGCGCACTCTCCTTGCTTTACATTCCTCTCTCGTCCTGTCTAAGCTCGATTATGGTTGCCCTGCTTACTCGTCTCCTTCTCCTTCTACTCTTCGCCGTCTTGATGCTTTGCACCATACTGGGTTGCGCCTCAGTTCTGGTGCCTTTCGTTCGACTCCCATCCTTAGCTTGTATGTTGACACTGGCTTCCTGTCTCTCCAGGACCGCCGTGATCGCTACTGTCTTCGCTATCTTGCGCGGTCCTTGCAACATCCTTCCTCTCGCCTCTGTCGTGCTTTAACTTTTACCCCTCCTGCGGTTCCTGTTCCTCTTCACCACCTCCCTCTTTCTGTCCGGTTATCTCGCCTACAGGATTCTCTCTCCGTTCATATTTCTGATGTTTCTCCTCGTGTTGTTCCTTCTTTGCCCCCGTGGAGGGTCCCTCTTCCGCGGTTTTGTACTTCCTTGACCCGTATCACTAAAGCTTTTACCCCTCCTACGGTTCTAAAACGCCTTTTCCTCGAGCACTTTTCTTCTCACTCCCGCTCCTTTTCTGTCTTCACCGATGGGTCTAAGTCAGCGGACGGTGTTGGCTACTCTGTTGTTTTTCCTGATCGCACTTATATGTGTCGCTTGCCTCCGGAGACTAGCATCTTTACAGCAGAACTTTATGCTATTCTCTATGCTCTTCGTCTCCTGCTTTCTCGTTGTCAGTCCTCCTTTGTGGTTGTTGTTGACTCTCGTAGTGCCCTCATGGCTCTCGGGTCCTTTAATCCGGTTCATCCAGTAGTTGTCGAGATCCAGCATTGGCTGTTTCTCGTTCACAGTAAATTTAAGTCGGTTGAGTTTTGTTGGGTTCCCAGCCATATTGGTGTGTCTTTAAATGAGCGTGCGGATGCTGCCGCTAAGGAAGCTGTCCGCTCTTGTCCCATCTCTCGTAAAGGCATTCCGTATTCCGACTTTTACCCAGTTATCCATTCCTCAGTTCTTACCCGTTGGCAGGCTTCTTGGTTGTCTGTTACTGGTAACAAGCTACGTACTCTTAAATGTTGTGTTTCCTCGTGGCCGTCCTCCTTCCACCGTAACCGGCGGTGGGAAACAGCTCTGGTGAGGTTGCGTATTGGCCATACTCGCTTAACCCATGGTCACTTGATGGAGCGCCGCCCTGCTCCTTATTGTCCTAGTTGCATTGTCCCTCTTACGGTCGTGCATGTCCTTCTTGAATGTCCTGACTTCCAGGACGAGCGTGTGTCTTGCTTTCCGACCGCCCCTCGCGGTCACCTGTCCCTCGATAGAATTCTTGGTGACTCGGATACTTTTGATATCGTTCGCCTTATGCGTTTTTGTTCTCGTATTGGCATCCTTGGTGATATTTAGCGCCCTCTGATTATTTTGCGTATTTGATGGTGCTACATAGCCTTCCCGGTTTGGTGCCTTCTTTTGATAATTACTTACTTGTTGGGAAATGCCTTACATTTCATGATCATCTTTACTTGTGATCCTACGATGACATCGGCTTTGACCTTTGGTCGTAAAAGCAGAGTTTGTTGGGAATAATAGCCAGTTTTTATACTTTGGAGGCATAAGCAATAACGTAATATCCCCCACTACCCAGGAACAAAAATACAGATTCGTTACACAGTGTTATCCTTTCAACAGTTTTCATGTGGCATAGACTGCCAACTGAGAACAATTACTATAACCTGCACTAATTTTACTAAATATCTTTGGAACGTTAGTTATAACTTAGTGGCACAATTTTTACTGCAGAAGTGTTCATTTAGCGAACATGGTACAATTAATGTTATTTATAGCAAATAATACAGTAAGAAGTGTGTGAAATAATTTTGCTTATTCAATCAGTAACAGGTAACTTGCAAATGTATAAATGTATACATCAGGAGGAATTAATATTCCTCTGTAAGGTTTGACTGAAATATATTTGAGAAAAATTGAGTTGCCAAACAATGAAAATATATATTGATATATAGGTAATTAATTAATTAGTAGGAAATGTATTTTGGCGAAGAAATTTTACAGAGCTGTCAACACAAAGTGTTAATAGAATTAAATTTATCCACGATAAGTATTTCATGATTTCATTCTCATTTTATTCCAGGAAAATGTTCTTTCTATGAATCCAGAGAAGAGTTCTTGCCTTTGATGTTTGCACTGATCGGTCAAAAGAACAGTCCTCTTGTTCCTGCTCTAAGTAGAAGGTACGAGATATTTATATATATTTGTCCACTTGGGCTGCAGGCATTCCTTTAAACGTATTTGGTACTGGCGTGTTGGGATCTTATACAGTAAACTTTCTATGAGTCTATTTTCTTTGTATAAGTATTAAAAAGAAAAAGAAAATTAACAAAAATAATGGAAAATAATTATTGAAGGTTTTATTTTCTGCAGTGTTCCGTTCCTCTCTGGAACGTTTTCAGGTAGAGAATGAATACATGTTGTACACTTTTTGGCCAAATACACATGTGAGACTCGAAGAATGTAAGATGTGATGAAGGGACAATCAAACATAGGTAAAGAGATAGGGCCGTTAACATAGAGAAGGGAAGGTTAAGGCCATAGCAATGTTTGGGAAAGGTCATTGGGAAAATCTCTGGTGAGCGTTGAGACCTCGGTAGAGATGTCATTATCCGGTGATGTTGGGCCTGAGCGTCGCCAAGGAAGCGAAGTCATTATTTTGTATATTTAAGATAGGTTCATTTTCTCTTATAATTGTAGCTTCCAGGATATTCAATCTTCTTTGGTCAGTGATAGACTCCAGGAATTGTGTATTATCTACGTGAATGCTCCTAGTAACAGTGAAGGATGAAAAGAAAGAGAGATAGAAAGAATAAGAAACAGAATCAGAGAGAGATACTGAGTGTTGGACTATGCCACATCAGTGACATTTAAGATATAAAGTAAAGTCATTGTCTCCGTAAATCAACAAAAAGTGGACGGGATACAAAGCCTTCTGTCACCTGCCATTTGTTAAAGCAGCACAAACTACCACAACCAACTCTAATTAAATACCGGATACGACTGCCACATCTGGCGCCAGGTGGTAATTACCAGTTCCAGAACGTTTCCTCACAATTATTGTCTTCTACTCAAAACGTTGTTCATGTATTATTTACAGGCATTCCTACGTGCTTTTTTGTGCATTATTTAATGATTCTCTCTCGGGGAAGGAACCCGCTGTATGTTTCAAGACTTGAAATTATGTGAACTGTTGTGTGTGAGAAGCGGGATGAGGAGGAGGAAGGTGAAGGAGGAAGTGGGTGTACAGGGTAAATTATAGAAGAATTTCACTGAGTGTTCTTGTTAAGAGAAATACATGTCAAATTGGTTAAGATTGGGATTTCATAAATATATATTAAAAGAACATTATATGCTCAATTCTGTCAGAATAAAAACATTTAAACAATATATATATATATATATATATATATATATATATATATATATATATATATATATATATATATATATATATGTCGTACCTAGTAGCCAGAACGCACTTCTCGGCCAACTATGCAAGACCTGATTTGCCTAATAGGCCGAGTGATTTTCCTTATTTTCAATAAATTGTTTTCAATTACTTTATTTGAATAAATATTATTATACTAGCAGTACCCGCCACGCGTTGCTGTGGCTCAGTCTGGTTAAATGGGAAAGAAAGAAAAGAGAAAGTGCACGTTTCTAATATGTTTAATATCACAATGCTTGTGGGTATACAATATTTTTTGTTATGCCATTGTCTGTGGAGATATAGAGATTGTCTGGGTTGCCGACTCTAGAACACGCAACATATAATTGTCCATGTGAGAAGCAATCCGTGTCTAGATATAAACTGCACACTTCTAAAGATTGGCCCTGAGCTTTGTTGATGGTAATTCCAAACACCAATCGAATTGGAAATTGCAATATCTTAAATTGAAATGGAATATCTGTTAGAAGGAAAGGAATGCGAGAAATAAGGACACCTTCACCTTTGAAAGGTCCTGTCAGGTTTGCTGCTTTTACGACGTCGCTGATTAATTTTTTTTACTGCAAGGCGCGTGGTGTTGCAAAGTTTTGGCTGGTTGGAATTTTGCAACATGATAATTGGCAAGCCAATTTTCAATTGCCGTTCGTGTGATGGTATCCCTGGCAGATCGAGCGAATTCAAAATTTCTGTTTGATAATTAAAAGTTTCATCTGCTTCCTCAACAGTGTTGACGGACTTGTATGTGACTGCCTCGCTTTGTATGTTAGGCTGAATAATACTGTTAAGGTCGTAGTCGTTTTGTTCTTGGCCACAAGAATAGCTCGTTCACTCAGCCAATCGTGATTCTTATAATTGGTTTGAATATTGGGAAATACTTTTTCAACCAATTCTTCTTTTGACGTCACTAAATTGCAGAAGTTATGAGGCAATGAAATTCGTCCTGAGGTCAGATCAACCGGCACGTTTATGTTCCCAATATCCAGAAGTTGATGTGAGAATATCTCATCTGATGGATCGTTTTGCAGTAGCTACATAACTACACGTATATTTGTAATTACTTTAAATGCCTTTACGTGGCGCCACAAAGTAGAGTATTTCAGGCAAGCATTTATTTCATCCGCTGGTGTCGCTCGAGGAATTACAGGTAATGTTTGCCTGAAATCTCGTGCAACCAATATTAACACGTTCCCAAATGGTCTGATGTTTCCACGCAAATCTTGCAATGATCGATCAAGAGCCTCGAGCGATTTTTTGTGGAGCATTGTGCATTCATACCAAACAATAAGTTTGCATTTCTGCAATACTTTTCTTAGGCCGGATGCTTTGGAAATGTTGCACGTGGGAGTTTCAATGAATTGCATGTTCACTGGCGATTTCAAAGCCGAAGTAGCAGTTCATCCACCTGGTAGCAATGTTGCAGCAATTCCAGACGATGCAAGAGCTAAGGTTATGCCATTTTGGGATCGAAATGCTGGCAGAATCAATCTAATTAGGAATGTTTTACCAGTTCCTCCTGGCGCATCTAAGAAAATTTCTCCAAGCCCGCTATTGACAGTTTGAATTATTTGATTGTAAATGTCTTTTCGTTCAAGCGTTTTCTTAGGAATATTTGATTAAACATTCGACAACAGATCACTCGTATTGTATTTTTATTCACGACGCAATTCTACATTGAACGAAGCAGCAGCAGATCGATTCGGTGATGGCATTTCCAATGGATTGAGAACTTTGTTCACGATTTCTAAGCACAAGTCTTCAATCATTATCAACGCTTCATTGTAGATTTTTGCTGTAAAACCCATGGTCATATTTGAATTTTCCTTGCGTATTTGATGGATAATATCTTCAGCCATATGTGATTTATATTTCTCCCATAACTCTGTTGGAGATGAAGGAGAACCGGTAGTCAATATGATTGCAAACAATGCACGAATTTGATTTGGATGTGACGTGTTGGACGCGTCATTAATGCACACATCCCAATGTCGGTCGTTCTCCAATGAATTCAGAGCTTGACATGAACTACGGGAAGTGGCGTGTGTTACTCCGTTGACAAATCTCAGTTGCTGGAAAGACGTTGGACTGGCCACATTTACCAACAGCATGTGAAGAAAGAGGCATTCGTCTTGATTAGGATAGACGGTGTACAGTCTGCCTATCGTAGTTTATTTGAATATGCCAGGTTGTCCGTCGACTCGCTCTCCTCGTTTGCGTCGATCAAATAATTTTCTACTGGCATTCCATGTGTAATACGTAGGCACTTCATAATACAGCAGTGTTTTGGCACTGCTGTATTATGCACTGCTGTTTCATGTTATGTCATCCTGACATAACGTGAAGAAAGCAGTTAACGTTGTAGTCGGTGGACTCATAGCTGTTGCACATTTGCGGCTGTGAAATAAACGTGTTGTCCAATTTCATGTTTTAAAACAAAAACAAAAAATACTAACGAAATATTTCAATTCAAACGGAGATCAATCGACACAGCTCAATTTCACCACCAATTCCACTGACAAATAAGAACAGTTAAAAAACGAAATAAAAACAATGAAAAAAGAAACAAATAAACTATAATCACGAAATGAATGGTATGGAAAACAACAAAGAATAAACAGAGAATTGTGTGACATTCCAATGCAATGTCACACAAAATGAGTAAATCAAAATGAAAATAAATAAAAATCTATGAAAATTCTATTTATCAATGCAATCGGAAACAAAGTAATAGAATCGTTATATGTTTTGAATAGCTTGTGTTGGTCTTACGTGCGACAGATGGCGCTGTTTAGAAAAAAAACATGGATATACCTTTCACAGATGTTGCATCTTCAGTGTAGGTATATAAAAACATGCACGTACTCGAATGGAACGTTGGGTCAAAATTTCAAAAAAATCGGTAAAGAACTTTCGGAGATTAAAGCATGTGTTGCTCCTGCGTCCTACAGATGGGGCTGTTTAAAAAAAAAAAAGCATGTTTTTTTCCCCGTCATAGGTGTGCCATGTATATAGTAGGTGTATAAAAACACACGCCTGTTCCAATGCAACGTTGTGCCAAAATTTAAAAGCAACCGGTAAAGAGGTTTCGAAATTTTTCCTCACATGAAAAAATATGAATAAAACATTTTTTTTTCAAAAAAGGCATGTTTTTTCCGTCACAGACCTGACATCAATTTAATATGTATATAAAAACCCGCTCTCAGGCGAATGGAACATTGTGTGAAAATTTCAAAGCAATCGGTGAAAAACTTTCGGAGATTAGCATTTTTGAACAAACTAACATTTCCATTTATATATATATATATATATATATATATATATATATATATATTAGTATATTTTGGTAGCAGTCTTTCCTGTAGACATATATTATTAAATATGACCGAAAAAGTAAGATTAATAATTCTAACACGAATTTTCTCAATCTTTCGTACATTTCTTTTCACTGTTGGAGGTAATTCAAAAATCAATTCTCCAAAATTCATTTTTATTTCTAGTCTGACGCGACACTTGAGCGCGTTTCGTAAAACTTATTACATTTTCAAAGACTTTACACAATCACAACTGAATAGAACTTACATATCTCCGATTTGTTTATATCTACTTTTGAGTGAGGTGGATGGGGTGAGGTGGTATTTAATAGGGTATTAATTTCATCAACACAAGACAGAACACGAAACAATGGGTATTGAAATGGAAGTGATTGTAGAAAGCCTATTGGTCCATATTTCTTGA